AAGAAGCTTATGTTACCGAACAAATACTAAATCCATTACCTGGCTGTTGTTATAATCTGTCCATGATTCTGCTCCATCGTTCCTGTATTTGACTGTATAGGTTAAAACGTAACCCGCATCATTGCTATTCTTCTCCAGTTTTATCTTATTGACACTCTGAGACGTTCCAAAATCAATAGTTAGCCAATTGCCAGAACTATCAGAATTGGAACACCATGGAACAGGGCTGGATGGGCGAGCACGATAAGGTGCATAGTCGGTGTTGGAGAACGTATCACTTGCAGAATACAACGTGTGTCCCGGCGTCACAAGGTAAACGTTAACTAAACATTTGATAAAGAACGAGTTAAGTAGTGTCCACATAACTTATGTCTAAAGTAATCAGTTAGTTGGAGAGCCAGTCTTTTACCAGCCATATTAGCTATGTTGTGAATCCAATGAAGTCCAAAAATGATCTGTGGCACACCATCCCAAAACTAGCATACGTTTTACACTTGTTTTTTGAGAATTGTACCGGCAAATTAAATGCGCAGGTATAATAGAAATTATGACGACACATGCGTCTTTATGCTTTATCCTAGTAATATCCTGTCTAAGTAAGGTAATAACTCAGCCTCTCATTAGCTAGTCTTTTATATCTCAGGGTTTAATGTATCCGACCGCTGTACGCCGCAAAGTCACCTGTTCCACTCCCGTAAGGAACTCGGCAGAGTTCCGTATTCTCTTAAATATCTATCGAAACATTACAACAACTGGAGACTGACCAGAAATCGTTCAGGTAACCTCAGGTTACCTCAGTCTCCACACTCAAATGTACTTTTTTTCTGACCTTTTATTTATTTATATAAATTCTTTTGCAAAACTATAAATACATGAGTGACTATAGTTGTTGTTTTCGGAATCTTTTCTTTTTTCCTTGGATGCGACAAACTGAACTGAATACGGTTGGTTTGCGGCCCCGCAAATGATCCCAGGACCGGAAATGATCCCCAGATTGTACCATAAATGATCTCGGACCGGAAATGGTCGCCTCGCCATAAAATTTGGAAATGTGAGGACTCGGAAATTTGGACAGTGGATTTTAAATTTATGCAATCTCTTTTTTTTTATGACTGTGAAACTCAGAAAACCGTGAGCATTTGGATTTGATTCCAAAAGGTTAATTTGGTACTGAACCAATCACTACAAAGTTCAGGACACGCGAGAAAACCTCCCGCAAAGCCACAACCAATAGGCCACGTGTGATATATCAATATTCTAGCATCGATCCAAGGCTTTCGGGTCAAAATTGCAATTTTTTTAAGTTTCCTTTGTCTTTCAATTACCAAAAGAGACTTGGATACAAAGAAAACACCACCAAACATAGAAGTTTGTCCTGAAACTCCCTCGGAGCCACGTTAGAACATTGATATATCGAACGTGGCCTATTACCGCTGGTGTTTGCGGTGTAATTTTCTCACGCTTAATTGGCTTTTTCCTTGCTACACAATAATTATCCTTGAATACTTCTGGTATTCACGGTTTTCTGAGTTTCACAGTAATAATACAATATTTTGATTCAACAGTTACTATATGAAACGCAAGAAAATGTGCAGTATGAACGATTTGAATGCAAATTTCACACCTTTAAAAATGATATCCAACGTTACGAAATCCTGTGTGAAGTCTGTAGTTTAACTGGATCCTTCCCTGAATGACTTTATTGGGTCCGGGCCTGAGATGTATGATAACACAGGATGTTCACTATATGAGAATTCCCAAGTGGATTGACTACATTTTTACTACGGTAACTAGCACGAAGGAATCTTAGAGACTTTCTTGGAAGCCCGTGGCTATCTAGGACGCAAGTATAAGAAGTATACAGGGAAAAGTTCGAAGCGGTTAATTAGATGGCAGAGGCATCTTCGAAGATTCATGTTTCTTTTTGCAGTGCGTTTCCTAAACGAAAAATTTATGCAGTCGACACATGTCAATTAAATATTTTGCGCAGTATGAGAAACGTTTTTTATTGCTGCTTTTATGCCTGAGGTACTTGTCTTTTCTTCACCAAGGATAATTAAGAAAATATGTATCCATCCATTGACTTTTCATGGAGTCCACGCCATTTCTAACTTTTTCCGGTGGAATCAGTTCCGGTCCCGGGATCATTTGCGGCACAATTTGGGGATCATTTGCGGTACGGGGATCATTCGCGGGCCGGGGTCATTTGCGGGGCCGTGCATTTGTTACTTGTTTTGACTGTTCGCAAGTATTCGAGTCCCATTCCAAAATATTGGGATAAGCTTTCGGGAAACTTCGTTTGCTCCTAGGTAATCTTCGGAAATCTTTGGAGTAATCCACCCGTCAGGTAACTAAATATTAAGGAATTTTTTTTGTATGCCCATCTGCAGCATGGCGCAGTTTTGCTGTATGTAATTTTGGGACATTAGTATGTAATTCGGCAAGATTAATTAATTCATTTTCAATGCAGTCTCCAGACCTTTGTCTCCTACTGGCATGGCTGTCAGTAGGATTAAACGCGGTAAAGCTATCTCCTGTAATAACATAGACAATTGTCAATGAAAACTTACCTACGTAGCGAAACACTTCAATATCATCTACAATGAACTTGTAACTTCCCGCAAAAAACTTTCTAGCGTCCAACGTACCAGCCCCAAAAGGGTTATCTGGAAGCTCATAGGCATAGCCAAGGTCACTAAATGATACCGCTGATTGATCTGCACTGTCTCCAATGTAAAGATCATTTTCTCCAAATACAGGACCTGATTGAGGATCTTGTCTTAAGGCCTTGTCAGTTTTTTCAGGTCTTATATTAAGTTTAACAGGTCCGATGCCAGCAGGGTTGACAATGCTGAATAAAAACGATCTTGCGCTCCACATATCTAGTTGATCCACAGTTGTTCCTGTCATTTTAAAATGAACGGCAAATTCAGTTCCGATCAATGTTCTGTAAATTTGCCCCAAGTATTGCTGGTTTTCAGTGTCACGCAATTCAAAATAGATCAAAATAAAAATCAAAACCGGTCAATAGATAGAGTCCAGAATCTGGGAAATGAAATAAGGTAAATATGCAGACTCTCGCCAAAATTCTGTTCACAGCAATTTTTCTTATGCGAGATATGCGGAGAAATTTTTTATCCAAATTTACAGAGATTTGTATGGAGACGCCATTCTGGTGCCCATCCGTATGGGCACCAACATGGNCATGAAACAATGAACTTTTATCTTTTGGGCCTATGTTACGACTGAGAGTTTTTCATGTTTAGCAAGCGAGCTTTAAATGATGCCAAATAAAATAACTGTGAAAATGATCAAGGTCTTTGATCAGAATGTTTTTAAAGTAACAAATTTCCTTCGCTCTTGGATCTTCTTCTATTCGGATAAAAAACCGATTACTGTATTTTTTTTCTTTTAAATTATTGAAGAGCTCTTTTGAAATAACCGAAACAATGAAACGATTAGGAAAAACACCGTCACAGCTGGGAGACGATTGGAATCGAAGCTTATTATGCAATAGAGTACGGTAAAAATTCGCGTGGAAGAACCTACATTTTTTGAAGTCTGGCAAAACAGGTTCTGGTATTATAGAATAGTTATTGGCTATTTAGGTTAAGTGGGTTCTTAATTAGGTTCTTAATTTCTAAGAAGGAGATATGGTTGCTGATTACCAAAAAAATAAATAATTTTGGGTTTGGTACTTTAATATACAGTACTTATTCAAGACTGAATTATGATAAGCCTGACACAACTCATTACGGAATGCATATGTGGTATTGTGTCTATAACAAGAGTTTATAATTCAACTGTAATCCATATATAAGAACCTTCTTGATCTTAAGCTTGTTCAGCTAAACATGTTCTTATTAATATTTTTTGGTATTAGAGTGGCAAATATTTACCAGCAGGGTCTTTTGAAAACCACCAGGTTCTTACACACGGGTTGTTACCGCTGTAACACACGCCGAAGACGATTTTAAATGAAGACCAAGTTGTTGCCTATAGTTACTTTCAGGCAAAAATACGCTAAACACCCAAAGCCGCAGTAGTTAGATATTGTGTTGTTTAGGGTTATTCTCGTCACTATAAGGTTTAACACCAAAAATCTAAAGAAACAACAGATATTACTGATGAGTATGAGAAAATGAATGAACATAATTTAAACTGAGTACTCGAACAATCAGTCGCCATGGGACATTCTGGCAATCTTTCCCGTATGGTGGAACATTTTTTTCGTTCTGAAGGAAAAACTTCAGAACTGCACCAACAGGACAGAAAATCTGATGCGTTTCCTGTCTCATTTTATAAGGTTATTTTGAACAATTTTAATTAACCATTTATTACTTATGGGATCTCTTCCTCCTGTGGACAGTTTTCCAAACTCTTCTTGTGTTCAGCTGAAATGGCAGTGAAGTCTGGTGTCTTAGCTCTATTATATTCGCTGTTCTTGATGTCAGGTAACGTATTTAGTGATATTACTTTTTTAATGAAGTCTACCTAAGATTAAATTCGTTTTGTCGTTCAACCCCGCGACGCAGTACTTCTCTCACAAAGTACAAACAAATGGGAAAGTTGAAATGCTTCTGCGAACCTGATACATCGATTCATGTGTCCTGCATAAATTGATAAATATATACTAGAGAAGATCTGATAATCTCTTGATATATGTAAAACGAATTATTGAATCACAACTTCTCAAGTAAAATGTATAATAAAATTCATATAAAGTTAAGAAGAGGAAGTTTACGTGATCGTGTTTGGTAGCATGTATGAAAGAGACAAAGAGGACTTTGAATTCTCTCAAGCAAAAATCAGTTTCAACGTTCTCCACTAATTAGAAATTTGGGGTTGCACTTGTCTAAGATAACGCTACAGTTTCACAATTGTTACGCTATCTTTTCTTCCCTAAAATTACTGAAACAGATCCAAGCCTTGCACATCTTTCAAAAACAACTGCAAAATCAATGCTTGTTATGACTGAGCTTTTTCATTCCTATTAGCCGTGACTGTCTTTTCCTTTCACTGTGGTTGTGAACTCACTTTATTTAAGATATGCAAAATTTATATTAATAATTGGTTTGCTGGTTAGTTATCTGATAAATTTTGTATATATATTTATTAACTAAGGCAGCGTCCATACTACGCCGGAGAAATTTGAAAAAGGAGCTTTATTACTACGGTTAGATCTACCGTCCACACTTATCCGTCACCAAAACGGAGCTTTTCGAAAACGCTCTTCAAACCGGGAGAGTTTGAATACGCTGGCTTTTCGTCTTTGTGTAGACGGGAAACTTGTGATTTCCCTGACCGAGTTTTCCTCAAACACAAATCAAAATGACCGATGCTTGTTGCATTTTTAAATTTGACCGGCGTAGTGTGGACGGAAAACATTTGATGCATTTCCATAGTGAAATTAATCTCCGTTTTCAAATTGCTCCGGCGTATTGTGAAGTTTCTCTTTTTCCTGTTTTACCCAATACAGGTAATGTATTAATTAATACGAATTTCTCTAACGTCTTTAATTTCAGATGCAGAGTCTTGCCCTAACCAAAATTTAACAGACTGGGCCGGTTCATTTCAGCCTTCAAGCTACCCATCGAAGTACGCACCAAATTTGGACTGCTATTGGCTGATTCAAGTGTCAGATGGAAATCTTATTGAAATCAACTTTCAAGATTTTGCGGTAACTGACAATGCAATTTATGTTTCTTGGTTTCTAAACCGCTTTCTTGATGATTTCTTCTATCGTTCCAATTTGTAACTCTTTTCTTTTATCTTCCAGATGGACGGTGATACGGTATGCATCCATTTTCTGTAGTTCCTCCTATTTTCGTTTAGTTGTTTTTTCATCACCTCCACACAAAGACAAGAAAACTCTGTCAAGGAGCAATGCGGCCATGTATTTCAAGTAGTGTCACATTTTTTGCTCACTTTTTCTCTTAGTTTCGAAATTACACTGTCGTGAGCAGGGAAAGTATTTTTCTTCTTCTGCTTCATTAACAGGTGGATAATTGCCCTAATGACTATGTGGAGGTTCTGGAAGGTTCTTATGGAAGCACCGATTCTATAAAGCGTGTTTGTGGCGCGAATCTACCATTTGAAGATGAGTATCGCGTGGTTCGTTCAAAAGGTAGCTCGCTTCTCGTGCACATGCACACAGACGATGCCAACCAAAACCGAGGATTTGCAGCAAACCATCAAGGTGTGTAAAACTTGATCTTCAACATTTTTTTATTTGTTTCCCTGGGTACTTGGTATTACGATACATTGACTAAATGAAATATTTGCCATTTTTGAACTCGTGAATTGTGGTAGCAGTGGGATTATGCAACTGAGGGTTTGGTCAATGATCTGTTAACTTTTCGCAATTCCGCTGTTTTGCGGGCGCATATATCGTTTGACATCTGCAGGACAACGTGTCACGTACATGCAACTGCCAGGGTTGTAGTAAAATGGAACTGTTAGTTTAAATAACTCAAGTTAAATGGTTAAAACTTCTGGTTGATTTGTCGATAAGGGGAAGTGTTAATGGCAGCTTGCAACTGTTAGTTCAAATAACTCAGATTACTTGTGTGTTAAAGTTTTCGGTTCATTTGTGGGTCGGGGAAAGTGTTACTCAAGTGATTGAGGCGCACGTCATACAACGCTGACGTAGATGCTACAAAAGGCTTAATTTAAGTCACGAAAAGGTCTTCTATATATCTGTCACTTAAATTACTGCGACGGTAAAACTTTTTTAACTAACCCTATGAAGTCCGAATAAAAGAACTTTGTCGGAATCTATCGGAATCATTATTTTCATTATTTTCTTAAAACATGAGTGTTGTTTTATGAAAAGGGTAATCCTATATTGCTCAAAGATTAACTCATATCAATCATCATTCACTGCAAATTCACGAGTTTGCTTATGGAACACTTTGATATTATACTCGTAGTTTTTGTGGCCGACACAACTCGCGCTCTGTTAGCTATTTTTAAGGCGGGATTCTACCGTAATACTCGAGTTATTGTTTGTCTTTCCTAAAAAAGCTAGAGGGAATTCGAAACCATTGCGTTTTTTTTTATCAAACCTGTAACAGCATAAGTAGGTGACAATGAACGCACTGGGAGTGGGGCTGGGAAGTAGATTGAACAGATATCCATTGATGCGAGACGAATTTTTAACGTTAGTTCATTGGCCAATCAATTGCCACACAAATTGCTACTTATCAACCTCGAACGTTCGGTCTTTAAGAGAAAATCTCAGACTTCGGTCTTGATGATTTTGTTTTCTCTAGCCTGTCATATATACTGTCAAATTCGGAGAAAACTCAAAGTTTGCAATCGAACAGCATCATTCTCAGCAGAAGGCTAAAAACAGTTTTCATCGCCGCCGATACGTAATAGTTAAGGACAAATCTAGGAATCAAGAAAAAAGGCTATTTTTTCTACAAAAATAACTGGATATGTATTTGTTTATCCAGGTATTTGTAAAGTGACATTTTCGACAGTGTCAGGAACCATCATGTCTCCAAATCATCCTGACAAATATCCAAACAGTGTGATGTGTGAGTGGATCATTGATCTGGGTCCAGGATATGATATTACTCTGACTTTCCATAAGTTTAATTTGGAAAAGAAAGATGACTGTTCATGGGATTGGCTGACGGTACAGGCCGGAAACACTCCAGATTCCCCGGTAGTAATTAAAGTGTGTGGTGATGTACTTCCTCCTGATATAAAAACTAGTGGACCAATGAGGATCTACTTCCAGACAGACAATGACAACGAGTTTGAAGGGTTCCACATGACCTGGGTAGCCGAGGGTGAGACAAAATGAGTAGACTTATCACTAAATGAACGCGTAAAGTATGAAATTTGTGATATGTTTGTGATGCGATCTTAGCATCAAAGACCACAACGGAGAAAAATACGAGTTTCAAAGCATATCACATGCATTATCACGCGTGTAGTATTCACAAATCAGTTCCAAACTTTATTATACTAGAAAACTGTAATTATTATATTTGTTCATTTCAATCTTTTAAGAGATATTTTAACTTTTTTATTATTATTATTTTAAGAAATATATCAAACACGAATTCTGTGTTTGACGACATTTCCAAACACCGAAAAGTGAGGATGCGACGCGTAGCAGAGAATTTTTGACGATCTTCGAGGTGTTAGGAAATGTGCTTAACTGTCTTGAGCGTTTGATATTTCTTCTCAGTCGACACTAAAATTAAGGAGAAAACGAAGAAATAAAGTCTTAAAAATCTACGTTGATTCTGCCGTAATGCTCGAGCACGATCAGATATATATCTAAACACCGTTATGTTCATGATTGCCGTTGTTTAAATTTGATGAATTATTGATGAGTTTGAGAATTGACTGTCCACATCATTTTTTAAGATCAAAACGAGTGCAATAAACCTGAAAGCTGCCATTCAAATGCCACGTGTGCCAACACAGATGGTTCATATCAGTGCACGTGTATGCTGAGTTACACTGGAGACGGCAAAACCTGTCAGTATTATAAAGGCAAGTATTACACAAAACCTGTCGAATCCCAAATATTGTAAACATCGGGAGAATATAAATAAATAAATTCGGATACACATATTAAATATCATTTCGGCTAGCCTCTGAACAGGCTCCCAACTTAGAGGATGAGAAGGAACCTATCCTAGGATCCGAGCTTACCAGAGTTCTGCAGCAATACGTAGAGGGAAGGGCACTACACGCACATAGCTTTCTTGGCTTAAACAAGAAAGACGTAAAAGGAGTTGGCGATAGAGCAATAGTCAACGATTTATTGGGAAGTACTGACTTAACTTTATTTTTTTGTTATTTTCAAAGAAGAACGAAGTGCTAAACTGAACGTGTCCGGAATTAGGCCCGCACAGAATTAGGGCTGCACAGAATTGGGGTATTCTTGGGTTTCACGTGACGTCACAAGCTTTGATCAAATCAGTGTCCTCCAAGTTGGTGTCCCTCGGGTATCAAATTTATGCTAATAATAGTCCATNAATGTATTTTTCATATAACGGGACTCGCGATTGGTTCAAAATTGAGTAGAGTGACTAGTCATGCATGAAGCTCGAAGTCTTCGCTAAAAATAAAGACAAAAAAAATATGCCTTCGATTTATGAGTTTCTTTAGCGCAAATTCATTTTTTGATTTTTCTTCGTGATAATGGCTCAGCTTATGAGATTTCCCTTTAACAAGTCGAATTAACCGGAAGAAACTGGTCTAAACATTGGACCTTGAGTTTAACAGTTGCTTCTCAATAAAATTTGCTTGGGTTTCACGTTACGTCACAAGCTTTGATCAAATCAGTGTCCGCCATGTTGGTGTCCCTCGGGTGTCAAATTTATCATAATAATAGTCCATTTCTACAGTGAAGCTTCTCTATTATCGCTCTATTATTTCGACAACTACATGAATTTCCAGAAAGAAAAAAACGATAAAAGTACCGGGCATTCATCTAAAGGTATACCAGTGCTCTCTAGGTATGCCAAAAGCTTAGAGAAACGAGTAAAGGAAAAATATTAAGATCTCGGTCATCGTCGATCGGGGTTGACTCCGCAAGCAAAACAGCCGAGCAGTTCAGTCCAGAATGCTTGCCTCCTGTGGAAGACTCGGACTTGCTGAGTTACCTCGTTTTTGAGACCAGCTTCTACACCAACAAGCAGTTCAAGGCGTTCAAGAGTCTGGNNGTATCACAAAACCAAGAACCCATTCGGAGCGAAGATTTGTATGAATATTAGTTTTCAGCTGCTCTTATACATCATTTAAGTAAAATCTCAGGAAGACCAATAGTTTTGTAGTTTGAACTTTAGTGATGTCATGTGAAAACCAGCTATAGGCAATCTTGTTTTAAAGGATTAAATCTACGAGTGATACTTGGAAATTCTCTCAAAATTGGGCGAGCGTTTAGGAGAGTTCAATTTGAAATAATTTTACATTTTTACATTACATTTACTATTAAGTTACCGAATACCTTTAGAGGTGCCTAAGCGATGTAGCACGCCCGGTTTTAAAAAACAGTACATACCTAAACCCCTATTCAAATTAAACCTTATAGAGCTTGCTATCAAAATATTCTTGGGTTTCACGTGACGTCACAAGCTTTGCTCACATCAGTGTCCGCCATGTTGGTGTTCCTCGGGTGTCAAATTTATGCTAATAATAGTCCATTTCTACATTGAAGCTGCTCTATTATCGCTCTATTATTTCACCACCTACATGAATATCCAGAGAGAAAAAAAACATAAAAGTACCGGGCATTCATCCAAAGGTATCCCAGTGCTCTCTGAGTATGCCAAAAGCTTAGAGAGTCGAGTTAAGGAAAGATATTCGCAAAAGATCTCGGTCATCGGGGTTGACCCCGAAAGCATAACAGCCGAGCAGTTCAGTCCAGAATTCTTGCCTCCTGTGGAAGTCTCGGCCTTGCTGAGTTACCTTGTTCTTGAGACCAACTTCTACACCAACAAGCAGTTCAAGGCGTTCAAGAGTCTGGAGGCGTTTAATCACATGGTGTCGGGATTTCTAACCTCAGTTGTAGGCAAAGTAATCGCCGGTAAGTATGTCGTGAGAGCAAGTGTTCGGCATTCACAGCGTATGAATGATCCTTTAGTGAACATTTGGGTCATTTCCGAAAACGATGGGACTATTTTGTCAGCCCATTGCTTGGGATGCAAAGCTGGACTGGCTGAGTCATGCTCACATATCGCGAGTGTTTTTTTTTTTTTTCATTTAGAGGCAACTACACGAATTCATGGCAAGCTCGCTTGCACACAGGTAAAATGCTCATGGATTTTGCCGACATATGTCAATGAAGTGCCGGATGCGAGGGCTAAGGACATCGATTTTTCATCGGCTAACAAGCCCAAAGAAAAGCTCGACCAGAAAATTGAGGATCTACAACAGCCGCAAGCCTCGAACCATGCAGCAGCTTCTAGTTCTGGGACTGCATCAGCCAGCGCCTCAGCGCATGCAGCGCGCATCGGCGCCTTCGAAAGAGGAAATGGATCAGCTTTATGCCAAACTCAACCAGTGCAAAAATAAAGCAGTAGCTTTAAGTTTAATTGATCCTTTTGCTGACCAATTTATCGACCAAAGCCGCTCTGTTCCGGTAGTTTCAGAGCGAAGTGTTTGCTACAAACTCGTTCACTCTCTAGCATTCTCTTGTTTGTAGCGTCGCCGCGACTCACCGCAGAAATCCACTCGTTTCTCCCCCTTATAGTGAGTTCCTCCTATTCCCCTTAATTTGTAATAATCTTAGGTATACGAAAAAACCGTAAGCCTTTGTGACTTCCACTTTTGCTCGAACAACCAACAACGACGCACAACACCATCCCTTCTTTCTCACATGAACTCTTCTTTGGATACGGTTTGTTTACGCCTGAGGGACACCAAGATGGCGGTTAGTAACCGTTGCTAAGCTATTGGTCACGTGGGTGAAACCCAAGAATGTGAAGAATTTTGAAATAAACTGAATTGTCAAGTTTTTCACGACCTCTAAGTGCAAGCATCCGGATAAATGTTTATGAAAGCCACAAGTTAAAAACGAATTTTGTTTCTCCTTAATTCAATTTGTTCCTCAGTGTCCGGACGCGAAGCGCTAAAAACTCCACGTGTCTGCGTTTTGTCATATTCAGTTGTAGCGAAAAATAAAGAACATTTTCGAAATAGGATTGAGACAAATGTGGGGTGATCGTACAAAAATCACTCTCGGAGACAAAATATTTCAAAATAAAACTTTCGCAGACATGTTTTTGTCAACAACCAAATTTGTAACTTTTACATTGCACACAATTAGATAAGTCGTTGTTTTAATTTCTGTGAGCGATAATCAATTAAAGTACGTTTGCTCATAGAAGGAACAGCCAATGAGCTTGTCTTCTGAAACCAGTAGCGCGTTTCTCGAAAGTCCCGAAAGTGTTTCAGGTCCGCAAAGTTATTTTTAGTTAATCTGTATCTAATAAAAGAGAGGTGTGTACGACTGAAATTTCTTGTATGAAGAGTACCTCTGTTCATATTAAGAACAAGCGAATAAAACAGCTCTGTAATCATAAGGTTTGAGATTTTGCTACGACTTTCCGGGCGCGAAAACTTTTCGGGACCTTCGAGAAACGGGCCCCAGGACTATGACTTCCCCAAAACATTCAGAATCACACATTTGGCATGACAAAAAAGCCCTTCTCATCTCCCCGTCAGTTACATTCCTCGCCACCTCCTGGGACTGAAAGCAAATGAACTGACAGCCCGCACCCTCCACCCCATGCCACCATCAATTGTCCTGGTGTTAAAAGGTACACATACCTCCCCATCTCTGGTCGGAAAATCCTCCAAACACGAAGTTTCTTACTTTCACCAGGGTGACCGTCGCTCCATGCGTGGGACATTTTTCATGAAATGTTTGCGCTCTGAAACCATGTTGGACAGCTCTGTAGCAAAGATGCCACCGGGCATTTTTTGGCAGGAAAGGTTCAAACCACGCCCGCAAAGTGTCCTGGTATTTACTGTTCAGTCCCAGAATGTGAGAAACAAATGGTACTGCAGAGATAACATTTTAATAAAGTAATTTAGAAATTTAGTAAAGAAACTTCGCTTATTCATATAAATAAAAAAATGGTGTATTACGAAAAGTTAAAGTTAAAATAGGATCCGATCCACACCAAGTGAATTATTTTTGTTTACAAAATTTAGCAAAAATATCTGTCAGGAAATACATTTTGCAAGTGTACATGGTCATTTTTAAGCCTACCCACACTTCAATTTATGTCAAGTGTCAAAACTGACAATACATCTGTCAACCTGTCAATTAATTGAAGCATTTCAGGTGATTCGTTTTGTAGCCTGCTACGCAGGCGCTCTTTGGGCTCGTCGCGCAATCTTCGGGGAGGGGGGCAAGAGGATATTATTTAACAGAGGACATTCAACATCATATTTGACTGGTATTTTGCGGTTGGGAAATAATTTGCTGGCCCGTTTTTAAGTGGGGACACGAAACGTTTCTCAGCCTAGTGCATATGGACCCTAAGAAAGAGAGCTAACAAACAATGTAACAGACACTATCTCCCCTCCCCCCGCTTTGGGCAGGAGACCATCATTCGGAGACTCCATCTCGCCCTCTAGGATAGGAGTGAACCATTTGCTGCTGCGTTTTATTTTTAGAGAAAGTCTAAATAAAGCTTGCAAAATCTTAATTTAAACCGATTGCCGTGTGTTATATATAGACAGCAATCACTACAATAAGCAATCACTACAATAGACCATTATACAGTTGTCTGTTCAGTGACCTGGCCTTTGAATGGCAGCGAGGCTCCAGGTGACCTTGTTTTGATAAAGACCTCACTGTATTTTTTGTGTTAATCAAGTTGAGTCCAAGTTATTCTTATGCTAACTAGTTGGTATGAGAAAAGCATAGCGGTCTGTATCAAAGGAAGGTCACTCCAGCCTCGTTTGCATTCATAGGCCAGGTAACTAAGCACACAACTGAAAAATGGCCAATTTTAGTTCCATTTCTTACCGTTATAGTTCATCCAAAAGCTTAACGAGAGACCGCTTTTACAAAGTTCAAGATTACCAACACATTCTCCTGCGTAGGAACCCAGGCTCAGCGTCGATCTATACTCTCGAGAGAGCACTCCAAGTTTTGTGTGTAAAATATTTGGATAACCCATATGGCTTCCTTGTCGGGATGTGAGCCTTTCCTTAAGTCTGTTGTTATGGAGTTCTGTAAGTGGCCAGTCGTACTTTGCTAGGTTTTGTTTGAGAGAAAACAAAAAGGAAAAACAGACAAAGTGTAAACTGTGCTGTTCGAGTGATTGACACTCGATCTATCTTACGCCAGTTAATCGTACGGTTCTTAAAGTAAATGTAGGCAACTTACTAAAAATGTGTTTATTTTGCGATCACTGGTGTACAACCACAACCGTTTCGTCGAATAATAAATTCACGGGTTCAAACGTGCTCTTGATCTCAATGCTTGAAGGTGCCGCTTCTTAACAAATTAAAGACGGAAATTCGAAAAACAGTTCTTAAAATGAAATGCTTCGTTCCAACTTATTTTGCTGGCACATGGGTGGGCTTTTCACTTGTCAAGACCATGTTGTTAGTGGTCGGCAGGAAAGCTAGTCAGATATATAGCAAATTGTTTCTGCTTCTTGACGCACTGCTGCGTTAGTCTGTCAATGTCTCAGTGCGCTGGTCGAGTTTTCAATTTTAATTGGAAGAAAATTTCCTTTTAAGGTACCAGTAAGGGGAAAATTTGCCATTTTGCATAATTTTACTTTTCTAAGCGGTTCGATAAATCTTTAGACAATCTTTAAGATAAAAAAAGTCTACGAAAAAATATTATATCTGCTGCTAGTTATTGCGCGAGAAAGTTTTTTTGCATATTAATTACTTAATTGAGAGTTGACAAGTTCTGTCAAATGAATTAATTATTGAGGCAAGAAGTCACATAAGATCATGCTGAGTTGACACGAGATTCGCGCGCCATAATCAGTGCCGGATGTCTTCGAAGAAGAAAAAGCGATCTTGCCCGTTTTCGCGGGTAAAGGAAGGCCAAAGAAGGCGAAAAACACTTTCGACAAAGAGTGGGCCGCTAAATTAGCGGAAAGTGTCGAAGGGTCGGTTTACAACTAAGAAAAATTGCTGGATGAACTCGACAACGATCGCGACCATGAAGCCAGCGAGCAAACCAAAATGAGCGCAAGCCGCGCTAAAATATTGTTAAAAACTTCGAACACTGATAGAGTAAATCAAAAGATAATTTCACGTTTACTAACCTTGGAATTCTGACTTCACACATGAAAAAGAGGTTTATTCACTGGTGAATAATTTACCGTGCGCCATCGCGGGATATTTGTACCTGTTCCATGTTAACTGTCACTGGCCTATTGTTATACAGAAAGTTGATTCCTCTGCGGTGTGATAATCTCATAACACTTAGATGCGGCCGAATTTTAAATTTTTTTCTGTTTCTCGAAAGTGAAAAATAGGCGAGTTGCACGAGCATTTCGAGTTCCAGGTCGGCAGCCCCTGGACCAAATTGGCTGAAATTCGGAGAGAATGTTGCCAGAACGTTTGCCGACAAACCCGTGTCTACGAATTCTGATTATTCTTTTCATTAAAAAGTTACGCCTTTTTTTTCTCGCGGCAGTCCTATTTTTTTCGCTTTTCTAACTTTATCCTCTTGTAAAATAATAACAAACGCATGTGCCAAAAATCTGAGACACGGTTTTTGAGGTCAATGTGTGAAGAAAAGGATGCCATGTTAATCGTTTTCTCCGACCTAAATTTAGCGGGCGTGTACCTTGATTTATGGGTTCGTGAAGCCTTGTAAACATATTCACATTTTCGAAAAACGGTAAATTTTTACCGTTTTAAACAGGTTGAGTCATAATCTGTAGTTCTTAAGCTTCCAATAAATATACGGTTTATATAGGTTTTAATTTTGTAAAATCACGAACGCTAGAGCAGCTAGACCGCGCGATGATGGTCAAATGGGTTATACTGATACCAGAGTTTCAATTTCAGTTTGAAGAAAATGTCCTCTTAGTATGTCAGTTCCTGTTACTTGATGGAAATTCTACGGGCTTTGTCGTACAGGGGTATTCTCGTGATGCGTGATTAGCTGATTTTGTTTTCCGTGAAAAGTGAATTTAGGAAATTATTCTTCGTGATCCGTGACCTGAAGGTTTTCCGTGACCCGTGAAGAACTTGAATATAATTATTAACCGATATTCGTGATTTCACCACTCTATTATTCTACGATATTTTGAGACGCGAGTCCTCCGAATGGTTTGAGTCGTCTATCGAGTGTGACTTAGGTATGCGATTTGCGATATGGAGCCTTGACTTAGCCTTTCACGATTTTGCTTTCTTCAAACACTCTTTCTAGTGTAAGAACAGGTTATTAAAAAGAGTATCTTACTTGCTAATTTTTGTGATTCGGAAAAACGAAATTTTTATATCCTTGATCCGTGATCCTCTATTTTTTTTTCCGTTCGTGAGCCATACCAGAGACCCCCCTGAAAGACCCTCTTTTCCTGACACGGCGTAAGATTAACTGATGAAGCACGAATTGACATTTCACAATTAACGCTTCGTGGTATAAGCGATACCTTCCCTTGTTGCAGAGTGCTTTAAAATGGTCACCAAGTTACCGTACGTAACTCTCACTTGACTATTGATTGGAATAATAACTTCACCGTTGAACCTTGGTTTGACTACTTTCGGGGGTAGGGATGGTATCGCTACTTTAGTGGGGTCGCTATTTCAGGGATTTATTAATTAGCGGCCACAATTTCTCGACGTTACCTATTTTCGGAGGGTCGTTATTTTCGGAATTATACTAGTAGACATTACAAGTAGGAATTTCTATCTGTTTGTACATTAATTAACTAAGACTGTCATACCTTCAGCGTGGCATCTAACAAATGCGGTCCTTGTTACATTACCATGAAGTGATAATAACATCTCTGGCCACGGAACTAAAGTTCCTATGTTTACATTGCAGTCTGAATGCATGTCTATTATCTCTTGATCAGTAAACACACGTTGCCACATGTTGAAATGCATTATATCTGCTTTCAAACTTTCATTTCCAATAATGGCTCCCAAAGCATCTTGTGCCTGACCCAGAACGAGATGACCGCCAGGGAAAGGCTCTGAATGTTGAGTAATTTGGTCGTTTAATGCAATTTGGCTGTCCACATAAAAACGTAAAATACCATTCGTAACATTCCATGCTAACAATAAATGATGCCACTCGGAATCAGCAAAACTCTGTTCTGAATCGATTTCCCTATATAAGGAAAAAAGAGGGAGAAAACACAAGCAAACAATATTAGGTTAGTGATAGGTTTATAACAAATTGACGTTAGTTTCCCATGCGTCCGTCCTGTTGTTGATCATGAATTTCGTCATTACATTGTCAAAGTAGCTGTGGATTCATGAGGGGATAGATATATTTTTTGTTTACAATGAATTATCGAATAAATTCTAAATTCATGTGTCTGTCCGCTTCTTAACGATGAAAATCAGCCACTTATCGCGCCAAAATTTCTGCAGTTTTTGTAAAAATAAAATTCCAGCCCATTTCTTAGCCATCNACGATTTTGCTTTCTTCAAACACTCTTTCTAGTGTAAGAACAGGTTATTAAAAAGAGTATCTTACTTGCTAATTTTTGTGATTCGGAAAAACGAAATTTTTATATCCTTGATCCGTGATCCTCTATTTTTTTTTTCCGTTCGTGAGCCATACCAGAGACCCCCCTGAAAGACCCTCTTTTCCTGACACGGCGTAAGATTAACTGATGAAGCACGAATTGACATTTCACAATTAACGCTTCGTGGTATAAGCGATACCTTCCCTTGTTGCAGAGTGCTTTAAAATGGTCACCAAGTTACCGTACGTAACTCTCACTTGACTATTGATTGGAATAATAACTTCACCGTTGAACCTTGGTTTGACTACTTTCGGGGGTAGGGATGGTATCGCTACTTTAGTGGGGTCGCTATTTCAGGGATTTATTAATTAGCGGCCACAATTTCTCGACGTTACCTATTTTCGGAGGGTCGTTATTTTCGGAATTATACTAGTAGACATTACAAGTAGGAATTTCTATCTGTTTGTACATTAATTAACTAAGACTGTCATACCTTCAGCGTGGCATCTAACAAATGCGGTCCTTGTTACATTACCATGAAGTGATAATAACATCTCTGGCCACGGAACTAAAGTTCCTATGTTTACATTGCAGTCTGAATGCATGTCTATTATCTCTTGATCAGTAAACACACGTTGCCACATGTTGAAATGCATTATATCTGCTTTCAAACTTTCATTTCCAATAATGGCTCCCAAAGCATCTTGTGCCTGACCCAGAACGAGATGACCGCCAGGGAAAGGCTCTGAATGTTGAGTAATTTGGTCGTTTAATGCAATTTGGCTGTCCACATAAAAACGTAAAATACCATTCGTAACATTCCATGCTAACAATAAATGATGCCACTCGGAATCAGCAAAACTCTGTTCTGAATCGATTTCCCTATATAAGGAAAAAAGAGGGAGAAAACACAAGCAAACAATATTAGGTTAGTGATAGGTTTATAACAAATTGACGTTAGTTTCCCATGCGTCCGTCCTGTTGTTGATCATGAATTTCGTCATTACATTGTCAAAGTAGCTGTGGATTCATGAGGGGATAGATATATTTTTTGTTTACAATGAATTATCGAATAAATTCTAAATTCATGTGTCTGTCCGCTTCTTAACGATGAAAATCAGCCACTTATCGCGCCAAAATTTCTGCAGTTTTTGTAAAAATAAAATTCCAGCCCATTTCTTAGCCATCATTAAGTTTAGCAGTTCTCAGAATGCGTTTTCAACTGACAACCAAAATTTCTACCAACTTGGTGGAAATTTAAAATTTGAGAATTGAATTCTCAGCTACCATTTAAAACACACCCACACCCTCGTATAATGAAAATGTGAGTTGTGTACCAAAGTCTTCATTTGCAACTTAGGCCCAATTCAGACGTCGTGCTTTTGTCGTGCCGAACTAAATTTAGGAATTAAGTTCGACAAAAGCACGGCAGAAGCACGGCGTCTGAATCAAACCTTTGAATTAAGTTCGGCAAGCAATTAAGTTCGAAAACTCTGCCGTGCTACACGACTCTGGCACGGTAGTGATTCAAACGTCGTGCTTCTGCCGCGCTAAACAAAATTCATAAATTATGTTAATGTATTTTGGCGAGAATGCGTTCCCACGGGGAGTTAGGAGGAGAATTGTTACGAGGCATCAGTATATCCTGAATTTGGTTCGACTCTGGCACGACGTCTGAATCAGAGTTGTTTTCCTGCCGTGCTACAGTCAAGCCTAATTGCAATTTAGTTCGGCACGACAGAAGCACGACGTCTGAACTGGGCCTTAATGTACGTAAACGTCTTCGATAATCCAATGACACACCGTCATATCTTCAGCAAAGTTAACCTCGCCTCGCCGGAGACATTTAGTTCCACTTGCAGTATACTGAAAACAATTAATTCTTGTTTTTAGCTGTGCATCGTCGAGTTAATGATGTGCATGGGAAGTTTGGAGAGTACTTCAGAAGCTTGAGTTACTCTTAGCTGCACCTCAAGCCATTTTTACGTTTCTTTCTTGCTCTCCAAACTTCCCACGTGCACCATAACTCGATAATGCACATTAAAGCATGAATCAAGTGTTAGATAAATTGTGCAAGAGTTAAAGTACGCGCAGATGAACTAAGCTAACGTGTCAACATGCTTGTTACCGTCTTTTCAGTTCATGTGATGATTCATTTGTCAGGTTGCAATGGTTCTGTTTGTTCATACTCTCATGTAATCAGTTCCGTGTGACAAACCTCCCAAATGAATCATCACGTGGCCTGAATTGGGTGGCACTCAAAAAGAGGTAAACACGTCAGTCGAATCCGAATCTTGAGTCAACTTAATGAATTTATTTAATAGCTGAAGCTTATTTATATCTCATTATTTAATAGCTGAAGCTTATTTATATTATCTATTTATATCTCAAGGTAACCTCTCTTTCTTGGTTACCACACTATTTAGCTTACCTCCTGTCACTGCCCAGAGTTAATTTACACCGTCGATCTCCAGTGTAGGAAAACGCTGCCGTTCTTCCCTGCGGTATATTGACTATGGAAAACACTGCTGACCAGTGTTGAGCCATGGCTCCTCTCATCCACCACGAGACAGTTATAGCCTCAAAGTCCAACACGACAGGAATAAATGCAAAATCCTGAGACTGGGCACCAGTGAAGCTCAGGTAGTAGTCCCAGGGTCTCTCTGAAACAAAGAGTTAATCTAAGAAGAGTTGCAAAGTGCAAATTACTGCGTCAATTTCGCTTAGAGAGCGGTCAGGAAAAATGCATTCTGAGAAAAACAGGCCAGGCCCAGGTTCGAAAAGTTGGTACTAAACGCTATCGGATAATTTTTTTAAAGGCTTTACTGCGTTTCAATTATGTTATACTTAATTACGTAAAAAAAAAAAACACCACTCTAAGGAGAAAAATGAATAATGAACGAAAGAAAAGGTTTAACACCCAAGGGGCAAGCACTAACGAGACCAAAGTACCCATGCAAGCTAGGTGCCGCCCAAGTAGAAAATTTATCCAGTGGATAGTGTGTTTTTTTAACTCTTATCCACTGGATAACGATCTCCTTAGCGTTATTCAACATTCGAACAACGGGGGCCAGGATACTAAGTGATTAGGCCACGAAGCACCACTGTTAATTGAAAATGTGTGAGAGTGAGAGAAAAAAAGATATGCGATCAAAGAAAATCCCCTAGAAGAATAGCCCTTCTGTCGACACGAGAATCTTGGGAATACAAATCTTATTTGACCCCAGCCGGTGGTTTTCTAGACCACGAACATCGACTGGGTCAGACGTGTTAACACGTAACCTCCTCTCCTAAGTAAACATATACCATGAGTCATCTCATGAAACTCTCACTTCCGGTCAAATCTCTTTGGCATTCGATGGCTCTTAGTCAATGCATCTAAAGGCCGTTAACTGAAGCAATGGCCAAAAACATCTACAAAAAACATCTCCCTCACCCAAGATAAATAGACACCGTTCATTGTCATTACCAGTACAATATAAAATTATTAACGACGGAAATTTTCTGGGGCATAAACTTTTTTCTCGCCTTTAGGTTGTGCATGGTTTTTGTTTGGTGGGCAATAGCTTGTGCCAGAGTTTTTTTAAAGTCCAACTCAGGACCTGGGTGGATGAAAGCACTTGCTCGATTTTTTCCCCATGGTTCCCCTTGCACGAATTTTTTTCAGCAGTTTTTACTGAAAAGGAATTGCCCACCNCCCCCCCACAACAACAACAAAAAAGAATAATGGTCCGTCCCTAATTTTCCTTACCTCTAAGCGTTCTTATTTTCATCGCTGTTTGTTTCAGGCGGTGATGGCTATTGTTCCAGTGATACCATAGCATACCTATTTCTGGACTAGGTACATAGTAACCATTTAAAAGTGCTCTTCCGCAAAATTTGAACCACCAGCCTCCGCCATTCCTTTGTGAACAATGCCATGAAGCATGTGGGCCATTATCTTGATCAATGGTGCTGAACAGAAAGCCACTGTGACCCGAAAGTGAGTCCTTTGCTGTGCCAGAATATCCTTTCACGTAAAGTTTGTATTTTTCAGTCTCGGAATGAACGGAAAACTCGTCATAGGACGCGTGTACCTTTTCTCCATTAAAATCTTCGATTTCCACTAGGAGCGTTTGATTCATGGACGACAATCGATGCAGCTTTTCGTTGCCCAGCCAGAATTCAGTGGACAGGTTGCCAAATCCGTCTTTATATTCGCTCCAGGTTTTATTAACAAAGTCAACAGCGCCATCAAAGCGCTTTTGTATCACAACCCATCCACCACCGTTTGTTTCTTGATCGCATAAAACTTGGTAAGCTCCATTACCATCCGGGTCAATGTGATACAAACCGGAGGAGTTGAAGCCTCGGTGCAGCAAGTCGAGACAATCACGCCCTGACAAACACGAGTGAAATAAGCATAGGCAATCGTATGAATGCGACTGCAATTAATGATTTACACTACGAGTGAAATTGGAAGATTCTCTAAAAAATTGCACGAACCTTTGGGCGAGTGCAATTTAAAAAAACATTTTAAATATCACGAGTAGTGTAAATCCTTAATTGCTCGAGCTTTCATACGATTACTTATTTATTATATGACTGATAAAATTGCGGATGCGTGTGCGTTAATTTGCACTGCAGTGCAAATTAAGAATCATAGTAACGATAAATTGGCCTGCTCTCGGCCAATCGCAATGAAGTAGTTTCCTCGCTCATATAATAAAGTATTTTATCGCAAATCGGAAGAAATAAACTTGGTATCACCTATATGTTGTCATGGGCGAAGAGCAGAGCACAAAACTGCAATCTTGAAAGATGTGTTCTCCTTACTAACTCTTCAAGGTTTTCATCAACGATAGTTGTGAAACAGCTGTGACAAGTCAAGACAATATGTCTTAGTTATTTATTATCTTTATTGCCGTTTTCTTCGTCACTATTCTGAATCCAAAGGGAAGGAGGATACAGCTTTTCGGCCAAACTGGTCTCAAGTAAAATTGGATTCAAGGAAAGAACCTACATCATAGTGTGGGCATGCCACTGTAAGCTGAAAAACAGTCAAACAAACCACCATCTTACTATTAAGCACAGTACTAAAAACAAAGAGAAATGACTCACCTACAACGCTTGAATTTGCCTGCACCAAGTTTTCTTGGGAGGAAAAATAAAGGACTACCTATTTAAAAGTACAGGAAAAAATCTAATGAAGCGAGTAAACAGGTCTTAGACCAATAAACTATTCACACATAACCGAATTTTCGAGCTGTGTTCTCGTTCTCTATCAAAATGGACCCTGGTGCAACACCTTCATATAAAAGTGATCACAGCATTTTCAAAAATGAACAGTTTTGCACCGCCTGAGGACTTTTATTTAAAACAAGTGGAAACGAAAACATCACCGTATTAGTTAGTGGAAGAGAATGCAACCCAATACTCACGTTATTTCACAAATAACTTCATACCATTTCTCTTGTGTGCCAGCACCCCCCTCCCCCCCCCCCCGAAAAGACGTGTAATTTTTAATCTGCAGATTTTAACTGTTGGTTTTTAACTTTCATCTTTACGCTTTGTAATTATCTGTACTATATACTATATAAAATAATTGTAGCACTAAGTATACACTTTGTTTCTTCTTGTTTCCCTAGCCACTTTAGTTTAAGCCTTTTTAACGTTTTTGTAATATTCTTTTGTGTAGTAAATTAACTTAATAAGTATCTCGCTTCTGTTGTTTTACTCCTTCCCGTGAGGGTCAGTTTACTGTTTAGGTGATTTAAATTTCAAGATTTTCTATTCCATGTTTATAAAAGATCCTTATTAGTTTTCCATTGTGGTTTTGGTTTACTTAGAGTTTTGCAATACGAAACTCTACCTCTATGTGACTAACCTGGAGAGAATTTAATAAAATTATAAGGAACATCTCTTCATAACAATAACCTTCAAGTCAGTTCTCAGAAAGTTACTTCTCAAACTCATTAATAACTCAGCGAGTTTAAGCAAAGGAAGCAATAACTTTGAAGACGTACGTAAGTTTGGATATCTGATGTTAATTAGCATAGAGTTTTTTATTTTATTTCTGCGTTTTGTCCTTAGTTCAGTTTGCGGATTGGGAAGGTATATCAAACACGCAAGACCGTGTTTGATCATACTTCAAACACCGCGAAGTTCGTCAAAAATTCTCCGTTGTGCGTCGTATTTTCCACTCTGTTCTCGTTGTTTGGAAATGTGGTCAAACACGGTCTTTCGATTACTTGAATTCCTTATACTCTAATTTAAGGTGCGAAATGTTTTAAGAAAGATGTCCAATGAGACATTTTTGAAGCATACTTAACAGTAAAGTATAAAAATAGATTTTGTAAAATGCTACTACTTGAACCAGTGGTATGTCATTTAGACAATGTAAGTTGTTTGCAAAAAGCTCTTTGTTTTGTCCAAGTTTTTATCCCAAAATTAATAAATTTAATCAAAAAGGTAAAATATTATCGAGACCCTTTTCTATGCAAATGCTGAACACTACTAAATGCCAATCCGTCTATTTTTTTATAAGGATGTAATTTATCTTAATTAACTACAGGTTGAATGAAATTTTATATTTATTTCTGGAAATTTCCCTTGACAATTTCTATCATTCCATGTTATCAAGTTTAACCAATTTAACTGATCATGATTGCTTTCTGTTTATTAAATAAATAATATGGCAAACAATAGTACCCTTTTAAATTTTTAAAGCCATGATTTTGTTTAAAATACAAATCAAAGGTTGAAAATAACAAGCCGGTGCCTAAAGAAATTATAACGAATTTTGTCACAAGAGTAGATATTTCCGCTTCATAGGTGCATGTCCAGTGCAAAGGGCTGCAGCTAATTAAATCTTAAGCTAAGACTATTGCAATTCGTTTTCATTGGTTTTTGCTACGAATGTGACATCAAAAGCAGTTGGATACACGAACAGACCTCCTGTGTCATAAATTAGTAAAAGATCCAGTGTAAAGAATATAAAATGTTCTCCTAAAATGTCCTAAAGAAGTTTTTACACTTAATTTTGGGGTATTTTGGATGTCACAGTTTACCTTTATATCTGTATGTCTTTTAGTAATACTATTTTCCCTCACATCGATAAGACCGACATTCACTAAACATTCCAGATATTAAACACGACCACTTCTTCCATTTGAGTCCTAATATAGTTAAAGCCCCCTTAAAAGATGGCAGAGGAGTTCATTTTCTGAGTTTAATCAAGCAGGAGTGAAAAATTGGTAATTCTAATTGTTTAAGTTGACATCCAGTTATAGAGTTGTGGTCCAAGACAAAAGTTGTCTGAAACACGATAAACCCACTTTTAGAGCATTGAAACTATTATTTTCTGTATTTTAAAATCCAAAAATTAAGGACCAAGAAAATGTTTCAACTTATTTCCTGATAATTCAAAGCATTTAACCTCACAGCGCAATGCCTAACTCATGCACAAACCAAAACAAAACGAATTTCTGAAAAACACACTGAAATTTCTAAAAGTGGCTCGTTCTTACCAAATATGCGACACTTTTGCCAACGTCCATAATGCTGATAGTATTGCGCAAATTAGTAAGTTAGCGCACTTTTCCGTTCAGCGAAAGTTGCATACGTTTTGTGCTATGCAGCCGAATGCTGTCAGTGTAGTACAAAACAATATGCTGAGTGTCAAGGGATTTTATTTTATTTGCACGTCATGAGGATTATAGTCAGTTGGGGAGTTGTTATGTTAAATTTTTATGATCTTAAGGATCACTGGAAGGTTCTCGATAATCTTAATCATACAATGAAAGAAATCTGGCCGGGTTGTTCAAAGCCCGATTACCCTAACCCAGGATTAGCGAGAATTTTGATTTCAGTTTTGTAACTTTCCGGTGAGGCTTTCTGTTTATATAGTTTGTTTGTCCTTCAGTTTTGAGTACCCAACACAAAACATAAGCAGTGAAAAATATTATTTTTATACAGTACAAGAAAAATCAATAGTTTGCCGGGTTAACTTTTAGTCCTGGGTTAGCGTTACCCGTCTAGTGCTACTAAATTACGACTGTGGAAAGTTACTTTAACCACATTTACACCGCTCGGAAATGTTTCAAGAGGAAAATGCACTTTTCACTAAACGTCTTACTTAGGATTGTGCAATTGATTGTTGGATTTAACAAATTCAAGGCTATAATTCATTCTGCCAACAATAGCCCCTTATTCAGAATAAACTCGCTTGGAGAATTGTAATCACTGATATAGAGCGGTTTTCAATCGAGTGTCGTAAAACCAAATCCAAAGTAATCACTCTAGCCAATCACAAAGGACACAGACAAACCAGCGAACCAATCAAAACTCGAAATAATTACATGTAGCTGACGCAAAGCGCGGGAAAACGCGTGTAAGCTAGTCACAATAGCCCAATTTCGATATATTAAAATTCAGCCTAAAACAATAGACCTCATTACGAGGCTCTGGGGAATAACTACAGAGTTTGTGGGGTCTATTCCCCAGAGCCTCGTCCTGAGGTCTATTGTGTTAGGCTGAATTTTAATATATCGAAATTGGTCTATTGTTTTGGTTTTATTCCTGATTGGATGGAAAAGTGGCGCGAGTTTTTTAAACCAATCGGTTGGCTTAACGAGGAATAAAACACAAATAGCGGTGATAAACATTTAATCTCGTTTCCAGACCCCTTATTTACATTTCATATATAGTTTTCAAAAATTGTAACCGTCTTTATTCCACTTTTGAAAATGTATGTTGCGTAGCATACGAAACGTCAAGTTATTAAAAAGCGTAAGTTTAATATGTTTATCACCGCTATTTGTGTTTTATTCCTCGTTAAACATCGGTTGGCTTAGTAAGTGTAAAACCAATTTCTTTTCGACACAAATGAAAACCGCTCTAATCAGTATAATTTTAGTGTTGAGGAGTGGATTGTTCAATAATTGTACATGGAGTGCTGTGTTTGACAATGTGTTGTATTACACTCTCATGTGGTTACAAGGTGATCGATCATCAGCAGTTGAATTTTACAGTACATCTTACACCTTCGAAGTTTCAAGAGTAACCCGCCATAGACGTCGTGACAATATCGGTGCGTGTCATTCTTGAAATCTATTCTTGCTTTGTGGAACAGGGTACTCTTAATTATTTCATTGGCAGGTAGCCCTGTAGTGTTTATCAAATAAATCATTTGCTAACTGTCCAACTTTTTTTTGTTTCAGAAATTTTAAATAGGTTAGACAAACGTCAATTCACTGGACACGTTTATTATTTATGTGTTTGATTGTATTGTATTATAAAGGGGTTTCGCGGAAAAAATGGGCTGATTAAGTTTGTGAATCAAAACCAAGGAGAAAACAGTTAATAGTTGACAAAATTTGTAAGGGAAGAAAATTTGCAGGGTTACACCAACCTGGGTAAACGTGATTTTCCCAGAGCAACTTTCCTTTGGCATAATACCCAAGGGTTTCCTATTATACTTCTCCAATACGGGCCGAACAAGCTAGTTCAGTGAAGTATTTATTTTAAAGGCTTTTTATAATCTGCTGGTAAGTGCGTCTCCGCGATCCATTCTCGGCAAACGCGCGCGCGGAAGGTAAGTATTTATTTATGTTTCTCGCGTCGCTTTTGTCCACATTTAAATGAAATTGTCAACCAAACTGGTAAAAAGGTAGTTTCTACTTAACAAAAAACTATGTATTTTGTGCAATGAATTGAAAAAGCAATTCGCTGAAATTAATCCGTGAACGGTCCATCTTAGCAGTCCGTCTTACAAAGTTCGGACTGCTAAGGGAACCAATCAGATATCTCCTTTTCATAACCGACCAGCTCAGCCATATAATAAATTTTACATCAGCCGATTTTTTGTCGTAGAACTGCAGACTTTTTGTCTGGGTCAAATCGGGTTAACCCTTTGACACCCAAGTGACCATATACGGCCAGTTAATGGTCGTGCGCTTTGTACCACTTGTGACGTCATCAATTTAAATGTCACCAGATATTCTTGATAAGCAGATGGTAGAGCTACAATCGTGGACAAAAGTCCTTGGGATATATGTAATTTAACGAATTATCTGTGTTTTACTACTGAAGTTTGAAAAAAGCTCTGCCTTCCTTTTAAAAACGCGTTACTGTTTCCCCTCCCCACCCAATACAATGTTGAAGATCAGAAGAAATTGCAGGTAGTAGTTTTCAACATTGTATGGGGGGTGGGGGGCGAGGTTAGGCAGGTGAAGTAGTATTCGCGCCTGGCGTGTGCACAAAAGCACCGAAAGTGCAAATTTGTCCCAAGACTTTTGTCCATGATTGTAGGATAGGCCTTGCCACACAATGGTCAGGTTTAGATATCGACGACATTCCAACTTCGCGAATCGAAAAAGAACGTTATCAGTTTTGGTGCAAAAACGGTGGTAAAATGGTCCACTACGCCTATGATTGATCAAGGTCCATTTCTAGGCTTCGCCCGTAGTCAACATCCAACTTTTCACGGCAGCCAGAGAGAAAATGCAACGCAAAAGGTAGCCAGAGTAAAAGGGCCGAGAAAAAAAGAAAGGAAAGGGGCAACAAACAAAATTGAGAAAAATTGAGGCTTATTTAGCGTCATGGCAGCCAAAAAACCTGACTAAACGGTAAAAAACGGTATTATTTGGCGAACGTTAAGTATTCAAAGGGTTAAAATTTGTCGGACCATCAGCTTGCCGTACACTAGCCGATTTTTTGTCGCGCCTAACTGCGTTCAGACTTAAAGGCGGAGTCATCCAAAATCAAGATGGCGCTTATTCCACTGACGTGACTTTCATGACATTTCCTAATTGGTTGAGGCTCGCGCGAGCCCCGATAAATTGTCTTGGTCTACCGCACACAAGCCGACAAGGCCCGACAAAACGTTTTGAGATCTAGCACAGTAAGATATCGCCCGACAAGCCCCAATCTTCGCGCAAACTTGTCTGAATTCACCGCACACTAGTCAACAAGTGAAGATTTTTTGTCGTAGAATTGCAGATTTTCTGTCGGGGTCAAATTGGGTTAAAATTTGTCGGGCCATCAGCTTGCCGCACACTAACCGATTTTTTGTCGCGACTAACCGCGTTGAGGCTTGGGGCCGAGTCATCCAAAGTCAAGGTGGCGCCTTTTCTACTGACGTGACTCTCATGACATTTCCTAATTGGTTGAGGCGCGCGCGAGCCCCGATAAATTGTCTTGGTCCACCGCACACCAGCCGACGAGGCCCGCCAAGGCCCGACAAGCCCCGATCTTGTCGCAGACTTGTCTGAATTCACCGCAAGTGAAGATTTTCTGTCGGCCGACAAAAAATCGGCTAGTGTGCGGCGGCCTTTATACCCAGGACTTCGTTATACAGAGGTTCGTTAAATCGATGTTCCAGTGTACTTTGAATGTTTTTTTAACATCGGGTTAATTACTCAGTGAACACGGAATCACGACAAGATAGTCATTTAAACGTGTGTTTAAATGTTTTCACAGTCGTCACTTTCCATTTCGGGCTCTTACTTGTTATCTCCTTTTCCAAATCAAATCCAAATTACGTGCATTAAATTTTGGGTCCCT